ATTAAGACTGAAAAGTTTTCGGAAATTCTCATTTAAAATTCGCGCGCTGTATATTTTTCGATATTTTAAGTTTATGTAGTTTGGCAGCACTGTCATTAATTACTATGCCAAAAATGAGCGCGATCTGTCAGACAGTTCGTTTACGGCAGCTGTTGAAACCAGTTCACCTCAGTAGTGCGTTGCTAAATGTCTTCGACGGTCGTACGACCGTCCTGAAAGGCTTTGTACCACTCATAAACTTGAGTTTTCGATAAAACTGATTCCCCATAAGCCTTTTGTAGCATTCGGAACGATTCTGCACACGAAATTTCGTTCGAAACACAAAATTTGATGCAAACTCTTTGTTCAATATTTTTTTCCATTGTTTTTTCGCAACGCACTACTGAGGTGAACTGGTTTCAACAGCTGCCGTAAACGAACTGTCTGACAGATCGCGCTCATTTTTGGCATAGTAATTGGCCTTAATTGCTGCCAAACTACATAAACTTAAAATATCGAAAAATATACAGCGCGCGAATTTTAAATGAGAATTTCCGAAAACTTTTCGGTCTTAATGTAAAATCAAAACTCCTTGTAATCAATTTTTGAACTTCAACTTTATATACCCGGCATTGATAGAATCAACTATGAGTTTAGTACTCAAATTTAAGCTTCCAAACTCGAATGTTATTTTGACTGGTTTTGATCTTACTTTTTTTTAACTGTATTTTTATATTAATTTTTTAAACTGTTAAAATAAATTAAAAGTAATATGTTTGTTTTTTGATTTTTTTATTGAAACAATTATTTTAAAACATAATTAATTTACTTCGCAAATTTCTATAAAAAACTTTGTAAAATGTTTCGAATATTAAAAAGTAATATTTTATACTGCCGATGTTCATTACTTCCTACGCAGATAATAATATGACTAATAAGTCAAATAATAACTATAATAACTATATAATTATACTTTAAATTACTTATTGTCGTCTAGTCTCTAATACAAAGAAGTGCTACAATATTTTTGATAACATGATCTAACCGTTAGGCTTCCAGCAGGTGTTTTTCTTTCTTATGTATATTAATTCAACATCTTACGTGGAAATCTTATTCTGAGCACTACGGTATATACATCATAATGGAGATTTCAATTCATTATGAAGTTCGTATAGCTCAACGTTACTTTTTATTAACTATCTTTACAAACAGGTCCAGGTCCATATCGGTATCATATATCTGCTTATTACAATATATTGAATTATTAAAAAAATTAGTTTTTTGAATTAAAATGAAAACAAACTATACATTTATCAAAATATAATCATAAATACTTAAAGTGTTTTTTTGAATAAGCGTTAACTTCACAGTGATATCCTCCCATAGATCCCTTTTTGACAATATTATGTAAACATAGTGCACTGCAAAAGTACTACCAAAAATATTTTCTGATTATCGACGTTCCTCGTTGGAACAATCCTGACTACACTACTTAATGTAAGAAAGTGAAACTCATAAGTGATTCACAGTTAAGTGCATGCTATCCAAGAGTAAGAGTAAAAGTAAGAGTAAGAGTAAATGCACTTCTGTTCAAATGGAATACACCAACTTATCAATGCATGCAGCTTTCATTAGACTTATTTTACTGAAAGCAGAGATAGCACTAAAAGTCTCTTGGTTTCGGATATTATCTGCAGTGTATAGTAATAATAGTGCTATTAATTGGACCTTCTTTATTATGTTTTCTTATTTAGTTTTTAGTGCAGTTATTTCTTTTTTATTTTTTCATTTCTTATTTTTAACTTAATTTTCTAAAATACATAATAGCCTTTTTTGACTTTACATAGGTATCATCTATCGCACAGTTTGTTTTAAAAATGTTTGCGGTCATCATATTCAAAAAATTTTACATTTAATTTTACAATATATTTCGTTAAATATTTATATTTAATAATATATTTGTATTTAAATATTTTTGTTTCTTTGCAGAACGTACTGCTTATAATGAATGGAAGTCAACAAAAAATCTGCACAAAGCTGTCAAGCACATACTTAAGAAAATGGTGTAAGTATTTCATCGATTAAGATAATAAAAAAAGATTATTAAAACGATTTTATAATAAATAAATATATAAATATATCTATTTATATAACTATTATTTATTTTTATCTTTCTAAGGGATAACCATTGCAATTGGAGTTTGCTTCCTAATTTTTGGCATTCTAGTCACATTTAAATTTTCATCAATTGTTAATATAGCAATCGATCATCAGGTATCATTAAGATCGGAAGGTCAATCTTTCGGTTGGTGGGCAAAACCACCTGTGGAGCCAAGAATAAACATTTATGTATATAATGTAACGAATGCAAATGAATTCCTTAATAATGGCTCAAAACCCTTACTAAGCGAAGTAGGACCATATGTTTACACGTAAGTCTTATGCCAAAATATTAATTTAATCAAATCAATTGAATATACTTTTTTGTAGGGAGTCGTGGGAAAAAGTGAATATTATTGAAAATTCTAATGGAACTATATCCTATAATATGAGAAAAATATATGTGTTCCGTGAAGATCTTTCAAGTGGATTTGAAGAAGATGTTGTTGTTGTACCAAATATTCCAATGCTTAGTGCAACGTCCCAAAGTAAACATGCAGCAAGGTAAGTACTATATAATTCTTTACTAGTTACATCATTAAGGAATAATTTTTTTAATATTTATATTGTAAACACAGATTCTTAAGACTTGCAATGGCCAGTATAATGGATATATTAAAAATTAAACCATTTGTTCAAGTTTCAATTGGACAATTATTATGGGGATATGAAGATCCATTATTGAAACTTGCAAAAGATGTTGTTCCAAAAGAACAGAAACTTCCTTATGAAGAATTCGGACTTATGTATGGTAAAAATGGAACATCAATGGTAAATAAATAATTATAATAGTTCAAATTTTTATATAAAAAATTATATAGTTTTTTCTAATGGAAAAAACATGAAAAAAAATATTTTAATATTACAAAGAATTGTTTTAGAGAATTTAAGGTTTATTGAAACTTTAGCTTTTATTATTTGTTAGCTAAATGTGACTGTATAGCATAAGAAATAAAACTGGAAAAATTTGAATAATTTATACAAATAAAAACCGCTAATATAATAATAGAAACACTGTCTTGTGAGTTGTAAAACTAAAACACAACAACAAAGTGTACTCTTGGTCTATGATCCAGATACGTTCATTTTAGTGTAAAATCATGAATGCAAAATTTTGTAGTAATTATAATATATATGTAATTGATTACCTTATGTAATTTTTGTTAGTATTAATTTATAATTCGGAACGAAATGTGCACTATTGTGGTCTAGCCATCTATAAGATACATCTGTGATACTTTACTTTTTTTTTGTACTTAACGATAATATTGCAGAATTACTTTTATTTACTACAGTTAAATACATTTGAATAGAAATCACTAAAAACATATATTATTATGTATATTTTAAACAAATGTTTAAATCACAGAGCATATATCCTCTAGAAATTCATAATAGAAACGTGATTATGTTTTTTACATTAAAAACTAGTGTTTTTAAATATTACAATAATTTACTCATAATATGGATAATAATGGATTGTCTCCATCACATCTACATATATTTTAAAACATTAATACGTATTTAATGGATACATATTTCAATGCTTTAAAGTTGAATGATCTATATAAGCATATAATATATATTACTTATGTCATATTTTTCAAATATATAAATTATTTGTATATGAATATATTTAAATAGTTCATAATATCAATTACTTTACGTCTTTAAGGATCGTGTCACAATTTTTAATGGAGTTGAAGATATAACTCAATATGGTATAATTGACAAATACAATGGACATGAGCAGCTTCATCATTGGCTATCTGATGAATGTAATCTTTTAAATGGTACTGATGGCTCTATTTTTCCACCACACATCGAAACCGATCGCGTTCTTCATATATACGATAAAGACCTTTGTCGCCTTTTACCATTAGTATTCGAAAAAGAAGTTGAAACTAAGGGAGGCATTAGAGGATTCCGTTTTTCGCCACCATCCAATGTTTTTAATGATATGGAAAGTAATCCTGATAATGCATGCTTCTGTCCAGGAGGACCCGAATCCTGTCCACCTAATGGTTTATTTAACGTTTCGCTTTGCCAATATGGTATAAACTTATTTATCATTTTATTGGTTCTATAATAAATTTCTTGTTATTGTTTTTTAGATTCTCCAATTATGTTAAGTTTTCCACATTTCTACTTAGCTGATGAGAGCTTACTAGAAGCTGTTGAAGGTATCACACCACCAGAAAAAGAAAAACATGAATTTTTCATCGATATTCAACCCGTAAGTATAAGCATGTCTTCAATAATTATTTTGTGTCATATATAATATGTGAAACAAATAAATTATTCATTGTTATTTTAGTTTTATTTATAAAACATTTATAAGTACTATATATATTCAAATGATAGATTCAGCATATTAATAATATGTTCTCTTTTTACAGGACATGGGAACAACTTTAAGAGCTAGAGCTCGAATTCAAATTAATTTAGCAGTAAGTCAAGTGCTTGATATCAAACAAGTTGCTAATTTTCCCGACATCATATTCCCGATTCTATGGTTCGAAGAAGGAATTGATCAATTACCCGATGAAATCACAAACTTGATGAATTTCGCAGCAACTGTCCCTCCGGCGGCGCGTGTTCTGCTGTTAATTGTTTTCTTCGCACTCGGCGCATTACTTTTGGCTCTCGCAGTATTTTGTTTAATCAGAAAGTCACACAGGCAAAGTACTTTGCATTTGGAGGGATCAAATTATTTGGCAACAGCCCAAATAGACCTTGAAAAGAAAAGAGCTAAAGAAACAACAAAATATTAATAATAAAATAGTTTTTAATATTATATATGAAGTGGTTTCGGGAGAGAACTTAATTAAATTGAACTAAATGATCGAGATGTATGATATACATTTGGGTACATAGGTATACTGTGATGTGACTTATAGTCAGTTGATATATATACACTAAAAAAATATGTATATATATTTATACATCTTTATATATATATATATATATTTATATGTATGTATATATATATATTTCATTTGGGAATAATTAGCATGTATGTATAAGTAAATACACATAACTTTGATACACACAATATTATATGTATTGTATTATAGCATTTTAAAACATCAGATATAATTAATCAGTAAAACTTAACAAGGTTAAATATATGAACAACTTTTAAACAAATTTAATATATATATACATATATATGTAAGTAAAAATTTTTTTAGGGTTTTCTTAATTTTATGAGAACTATATATAAGATCGCATTTAGAATAAAATATTTATAAATGCATCCAAAAGCGTATTAGATAAGAAAAATTATTTATAAGAATTGGTGGAGCTGTTAATATGTATGTACATAAATATTAAATAAAAACATAAATTCTTTTACCAAAAAATGTATTGTTTTTTCTTATATTATATTCTTAATTTCATCATTGTTTCACCGAAATTATGTTGTTTTTTCCATACAAAATTCAGTTTTAAGGTTAGAATGAAATTTAGGAAATGGCCTTAATTTCGTTCAAACGAAGCCTGAAATTTAGGGACAATTCAAATGCAACTATGCGTAAGATAAATTTTCAGCAAAATATGAAGTTGAGATAACGAAAAAGTGACATTTTTTTTAAATAAATATCAATGACATTTGACTTTAATAAAACCGGAAAATATTTTGAGAGTTGTGCAAATTTAGAGAATATAGAGAAAAAACTGTGACTGTTATAGAAAATATGTCTGATCAACGTATCGAAAACAATTCATATATTCCTATGAATCATAAAATCTATTTTAAAACAGATTTTATAATTGATGTTAAATCAGTTTTGGTAAGTTTAAATTGGTTTTAAGAAAAACCTAGGTTTACTAAGGTTACTGCTGGGTTTACATGAACCTTAAAACAATTTTTGAGACTCGGATAAACAAGTTAAATATCAAAGCGTTGAAGTAGAAATTAATCTGTTTGAAAATAAGTTTTAAAATCACCTTTAAAAGCTTTTATTTACAAATATTAAAAGTATTTTTGATGATATTAATCAATTAACAGCTGACACTTAAGCCTTAAAACTACTTTTAAAGTTTTTACAAAATGTTTAAAATTAATATTTCATACCAAAATACGATTTTTAGCAAAATTAATTTCACATATTTTAATTTTACATATTTTACTGCAGCCAAATTTATTACAGCCAAATTTAAAAATCAGTCTATTGTGAATGTTCACTGAAAATATGTTACAAGTTTGCAGTCACCTATTAAAACAATATGGACAATTGATTTACTAATAAATTCAAATACATAAATAAATAAATTAATTTAAATATATAATATTATTTTCTAATAGTAATTTTGTTTTGTTTTATTTAAATTAATTACATTAATATTTAACACACTTTAAGAGTCATGTCAATTTGTTTCAACTATTTTTTATAAGTCTGAAAGTAAAACTTACGGCTATTATTGAACGTTTTTAATAAATGCCCAAACAAGTGTATTAAAAGGGAATTTTTGCTGAAAAATTATTGCCACTTAATTCCGTGATAATTTCCCATTGACAAAACGCTCAGGTGTGGCAACATGAGAATCTTCGATTAAATGCAATGTAACTTTATAAATTGAATCTATTTAGTCTGGAATACATATATATACATATGTAAAGTGATAACGATTGTAAATTGTGGCATATTTTAACTGCTGCTTAAATGTTGTTACGTATTCTTTACTTTTTTAAATCCGTTATAAGTTAAAAATCATAAAATTGCCGAAAACAAAACTTCTAAGCAGAACTAAAATCGAAAATGCAAAACCAACAGACTTCTCAAGGCCAAAACCAACAATCACAACAACATTTGTTGCAACAACAACAACTGCAAAACCTAAGCGGCACTGTGGCAAAATTAAATGAACAGCAAAGTATTTCCTCAATTGGTATGTAAACGAAAAAAAGTTCAAAACTATATGACTTCTTTATATTTATATTACTTATGTTTACCTTATGTAATGAAAATACATATAAAGCAATATTTCTGTAAGCCATGTATTTGTTTTAATACGCGTGACAAAATTTTCCATTCATTCGTATATGTATATATGCCAAACACTTGCATTTTGAGTGATCTCTCCCAAAAGCTATTAGCAAAAAATAATTTAAGAATAATATTTTACAAAAGAAATAATATTTCGTGTATTTTTTATAAAACTAAATATATTTGTATAATAATATGGGGAAAATTTTTCTTAAAGAATTATCAAATTATTTACTTGCAATTATAGAAAATTTTATCATAAATGAAATAATTTATTACTTATGGAAAATAAAACAGATTTTCTCATTAAAATTTATATTATATATTTAATACATGTATATTTATACATATGAATGTACAAATAATATATATTTATTTGATTTATTTATGCAAATACTGATATATATATGAGTATAAACAAAAATTTAAATAATTTATGATTCATTGTTTTCAATATTTAATAAAAAAACTTAAATTTGTTTCATAAACGCAAGGATGAGATTTATATTATAAAAGATTACAGTCTCCTATACTAACACTCCTTCAAAGCTATAATATATTTGGCAGAAATACCTGCTGAACATTTTATGTTTATTTTATTGTATTTCAGTTTTTATAGTCAGTTTTAAACATTTGTACATAATACAGTCTGTTTTTAATCATAATATTGTAATTTTCGCACACAATTACAAGTTGAATGTGCTGGACAGAAAGTGTGCCGCTGGAAAACAATCGCCAAATCTAAGAGATTCGGACTTATCGTTGGTATCAAGCAAACAATTGTTGAAATCTTTCTGTAATGCACAAATAATCACAAAATAGAAAGGTTTAACCATATGTAAACATCTTTATGGAAAGAAATTAGCGTCTACTAAAAAGGAAAAAATAAAGCAATCTTATTAAGATGCAACGTAAAGATATCAGTCTCATAACCGTCTTGCTGATCGGTCAACCTTGCAAGAATTTCAAATATTTCTATTAACGACTCCTGGCTCTGTTGAGAAAAGAATTATGAAAGTGTTAAACATTTATTTATTTTGTCATGGTTCCATATATACTTAACCTTAAAGGGACTTACTTTTTAGAGGATAATAGGCCTCTTTCAATTACAGGCCTTATTTCTAAAAGAACATTTTGAGCTGTATGAAAAGTTGCAGATAGTTTTAAATCCCTTCTGTTTTTATACACAATGGGTCAATATATTACACAATGGTCCACAGTAACTATAAATATATCTCTAACTTCGCATAGAGCTCACACTCTAGTTTATAGTTTAACCTAATACAATAGTTCTAATTTTAAAATTGCAGAAGTTTGCATTTTTAGCTATATTCAGTAACTTAGTTAAAAAAAAATTGGTACTAATTAAGAATGTCGGTTGACCTTTATGACCTCTGTCTTTTTTTACAATTAAAGTTTCATTCTGTTTAAAATTATAATAGTATATAGCAGTATCAATAAGATATAATTCAATACAACAAAATAAAATAATGAGGTTTGTTAACTTAATTTTTATTAAGTTTAATTAAAATTAACAAGTTTCTGGAAAGATGCTTGGAAACTAAACACTTCATAACAGCACACATGCAATGTGTGAAACAAATGCTATATTACTACGAATGAAACTATAAATTTAATTTACAATAATAATTTTTTAATAAGAGCTTTACAAAGAGTTAAAAGACTTTTAAACTCACTATTGCGTTTAGAATGTCATCGCAGTCGATGAAATGACAGGTGTCGCTAGAACAAAAATATTTCTCAACAAATAAAATTGATTCTGAATACAAATCAAAAATAAAAGTTCAATTTCATACTAAATGCATATGTTACTTAAACCATTTTAAAGTTAATGTATGGGATTAACAATGACGAAATCTCAATTAAAATTTACCAATACCTTAGGTGTATCTCACAAGTCATGTAAAGGCGCCAAAATAAAATAAAAATATTTAAATTATTATTACAATTTGAAAGTAATGAGAAAACATAAAATGCAGAATGGAGTAACAAAAAAAAGTGGTGACAACTATATTGACTACTTGAGAAATGATTATAATATGAATTCATACAATTTTAAAGGAATAAAATATCATATATTATAATATCGAGTGAGAAAAAAATGGAGACGATAATGTTTAATGCTTAGAAAATGTATATAGCGGTTAGTAAATAGTGAAAAACTGGCAGCAACGGCCGGATCAACGTCACAGAGCCATTCATCAAGTTTAACGACCAAGTGCCACTCAACACTTCCAAAATGAACAACACAAGCTTATCCCTGTGGGTAACAACTACAATGAAAAACAATAGTAATGCGTATTTTAAAAAAATTATACATAATACAAGTAAATTAAATAAATCTGTTAAATCTGTTAATAATACAAGGAGTAATAGAAAATTCTACGAATCTTGCATATTGCATCCTACACCGATTTTCTACACATACCAAGAGGTACATAAAGTACCTAGAGACCATAGAGAGAACTGAACGTTATAACAGCACGAATAGCAAAGTTAAGATATTTGAATATATATATATAATATATTAAAGTGTTTATTGAGTCACTGGCATATGAGAGATGTAATACTTTATTTATTTATGAAAAACTTGGATTAAATAACGAAAATGATAACAAGACTCAACTGTTTTATTTGTAAAAACGTAAAAACGATCAGAAAATGTTAAAATAATGCCAATCTAATTATATAAATAAACTGCTCAAACATTATTGATAATAAAAGTCAACAGCATTTTATAGTAAAAAACGTACTGAAAACTTTAGCAGACGGTTATTGCATTTAGTCAGAGTGTAATCCGTGCTTAGCACGTTAAGAACCAATTAGTCATAAAACTAATAGCAACAGCAATACGACTATTGAACAATATTAAACAACAAATAATGCTGTATTGAATAATACAGCAAGAACGTTCTTAAAAAAACACAGTTGATCAGCTTCTTTTATTATTAAAGGTGTTCTGTAGAGTATAAAGTCACGTCTATTATTTTACTATAATCGTTTAAAATACCTATAAAATGTTATATTATTGTTGTTTCTTGTTCTTAGAAATTCAAAAACAATTATAGCATAAAAAGAATAAACTTACTTACTTATTTATTTAAAATAAAGAATAAACTTATTTTTTATTGTTATTAATTATTTAATAAAATTATGCGCATATTGTTCTGGTAAACCACTAACCATTTCAACTAAATTATTTCTTTTGTTTCATATGTGATATTGAAAAATTATTAATACTCTTATATTAAAACTAAAATATCTGTTTTTAGGTTTGTTAGAATTGGCACATCGTGAATATCAAGCCGTGGACTATGAAAATGCAGAGAAACATTGCATGCAATTGTGGCGTCAAGATAGTACAAATACTGGCGTTCTATTGTTGTTATCATCTATACATTTTCAGTGTCGTCGGTTAGATAAATCAGCGCAATTTTCAACATTGGCTATAAAGCAAAATCCAACACTTGCCGAAGCTTATAGGTAGTAAATTGTATCTTATTTATATATATAAATATATCTATAATATGTTACATTTTTCATATTTACAGTAATTTAGGTAACGTTTACAAGGAACGTGGTCAATTACAGGAAGCACTGGAAAACTACCGACGTGCCGTTCGCTTAAAACCAGACTTTATAGATGGTTATATCAATTTAGCTGCTGCATTGGTGGCAGCACGCGATATGGAATCAGCAGTGCAAGCTTATATCACAGCATTGCAATATAATCCGGTAGTTATATTTTGCATATTTTGCATACATTTACATTTGCTAATTTATATTAAAACATAATTATTTTTAGGACTTGTACTGCGTTCGAAGCGATCTTGGTAATTTATTAAAGGCGCTTGGCAGATTAGAGGAAGCAAAGGTATTAAAAAATATTTTCAAGCATATATGACTACGCAACATACGCAACATAAATACTTACACACTCTATAAGATATAACAATTTAAAAAAAATTAATTAATTTTTATTCTTCAGTACATGATATAAATGTTAACTTTTTATCATAAATATATGGACTGTTTTACAGCTTTTATCAAGATTGTAAATCTTAGGTACCTATGTGCACCGATGAATTATCTTTTCTGTAATATTTTATTGTTATGATAATGTGTTACATGTATTTTAAAACTTAATTAACATATAATATATAAAAATAATATATATTTTTTGAATAGGCGTGTTATTTAAAAGCGATTGAAACTTGCCCTGGATTCGCGGTAGCATGGAGTAATTTGGGTTGCGTTTTTAATGCACAAGGAGAGATTTGGTTGGCTATACATCACTTTGAGAAAGCTGTTGCTCTTGATCCAAATTTTCTTGATGCATATATTAATTTAGGCAATGTTCTTAAGGAAGCACGAATTTTTGACAGGTATGTGTTATATTTGTTTTCTTTATACAAAATATATAATTTTATCTTATTTGTGTAGAGCTGTTGCAGCTTACCTTCGGGCACTAAATTTGGCACCCAACAATGCTGTTGTACATGGAAACTTAGCATGTGTATATTATGAACAAGGACTTATTGATTTAGCCATTGATACCTACAGGCGAGCTATTGAATTACAACCAAATTTCCCTGATGCATACTGCAATTTGGCAAATGCATTAAAAGAAAAAGGACAGGTATTAAAATTAATAAATATATATATATATATATATGTATTTTTCATAAAGAGGTTTTCGAAAAGTAGTGACCTATAAGTACAACTTTATGTATATGAAATTTAATGTACAGTAAAACCTTAATTTTACAGTATTGTAAAGATATAAAAATGTTGTAGTTTTACTAATCAAAAATATATACACTATCACGAAATAAATATTTATGGACCAATTAATCAGCTAAATACCATATATATTTGAGATAAATGGACCATTCTCATATTCGTAATAAATATAAGCTTAGTCGCTTAACAAATTTGGTCAATTTAAATTGCCAAATAATATAGATAGCTTTAAATCTAAATCCTAAACCGAATTAATTAGCTGAAAATTTGAAATTAATTATAATAGGAAGTTATTCCAATATTAAAATTCGTGGTAAATATTTCGTTATATCAACAAAATTCAGATATCAGATCCGACCCGAATCAATTAGCCTAAAGTTTGAAATTAATTATAAATGAAGTTATTCCAATTTTAAAATGCATTGTAAATATTTTGCTATATAAAGCGAATTATATCCCAACAACAGCGTTAATTATATATCTACACCCAATTAATTTAAAATTAATAGTAGTTTTATAATATAGTCTTTTAATTCAAATTAGTTTAACAGATATTTACCATCCTTCACAAAAAAGTTGTATCAAATTTAATATATATAATTTGGTCAAAATCGTCATAATTTATAATATATTAAACATACGTTGTGGGATTAGAAAATCTTATTCAATGCATTCTATTGGTATACACTATATTAATTTGCTTATTAGTTTTTATATTACAAACACGTTATATACGAAACTTTTTGCCATTTGTACTTATGGTAGGATATTGATAAACATTTTTTAAGCTTTTTTCATTTGTTTTTTTTCTTATTGCACTAATAAATTTTTTTCTCATTTAATCTTAGGTAAAAGAAGCTGAGGAATGTTATAATACAGCGCTTCGTTTATATCCAAATCATGCAGATTCACTAAATAATTTAGCTAACATAAAGAGAGAGCAAGGTCTCATTGAAGAAGCTACGCGACTTTATTTAAAGGCATTGGAAGTGTTTCCAGATTTTGCAGCAGCTCATTCCAATTTAGCATCAGTACTACAACAACAAGGTAAACTAAAAGAAGCATTGATGCATTATAAAGAAGCAATTCGCATTCAACCAACATTTGCGGATGCCTACTCGAATATGGGAAATACTCTTAAAGAATTACAGGATGTTACAGGTGCATTGCAATGCTATACAAGAGCAATACAAATTAATCCTGCTTTCGCAGATGCACACAGCAATTTGGCAAGCATACATAAGGACTCTGGAAACATTCCTGAAGCTATACAATCGTATCGAACTGCATTAAAATTGAAACCAGATTTTCCAGATGCCTATTGTAACTTAGCACATTGTTTACAAATTGTTTGTGATTGGACTGATTATGAAGCACGTATGAAGAAACTTGTTAGCATTGTTGCAGAGCAATTAGAAAAGAATCGTTTACCTTCGGTACATCCTCACCATTCAATGCTTTATCCTTTATCTCATGATTTTCGTAAAGCAATTGCTACACGTCATGCAAACTTATGTTTAGAAAAAATTAATGTACTTCATAAACCACCATATAAATTTTCACGTGATATACCTGCTGGTGGTCGTTTAAAAATCGGTTATGTTAGTTCCGATTTTGGCAACCACCCTACTTCACATTTAATGCAATCTGTCCCAGGTTTACATAATCGTAAAAATGTGGAAATATTTTGTTATGCACTAAGTCCAGATGATGGAACGAGTTTTCGACAGAAGATAGCACGTGAGGCTGAGCACTTTATTGATTTATCGCAAATTCCTTGCAATGGTAAAGCTGCTGATAGTATATATGAGGATGGTATACACATTTTAGTAAATATGAACGGTTATACAAAAGGAGCACGTAATGAGATTTTTGCATTACGTCCAGCTCCCGTACAGGTTATGTGGCTTGGTTATCCAGGTACTAGTGGTGCAAGTTTTATGGATTACATTATAACAGATGCTGTAACCAGTCCTTTAGAACTATGCAATCAATACAGTGAGAAATTAGCTTATATGCCTTATACATATTTTATTGGTGATCACAAACAAATGTTTCCACATTTGAAAGAACGCATCATAGTTGCTGATAAACAGAATGCAACTGTTGCTGACAATGTGACCGTTATCAATGCAGCTGATTTATCACCCCTTGTAGAAAATACTGATGTAAAAGAGATTCGAGAAGTAGTTAATGTTCAAAAACCAGTTGAGATAACACATAAAGTTGCTGAGTTACCAAATACTACGCAAATTGTTTCAATGATTGCTTCTGGACAAGTACAAACTTCTTTAAATGGTATTGTAGTTCAAAATGGATTAGCTACCACTCAAACAAATAATAAAGCTGCTACGGGTGAAGAAGTGCCACAAAATATTGTACTTACTACTCGGCGGCAGTATATGCTTCCAGACGATGCAATAGTATATTGTAACTTCAATCAACTTTACAAAATTGATCCGCAAACACTACAGACATGGGTTATTATATTAAAGCGCGTACCGAATTCCGTGTTGTGGCTTTTACGATTTCCTGCAGTAGGAGAGCAAAATATAAAGAAATCTGTTGATAACTTAGGTATGTGCATTTTATAAATATTATAAAAAAAGAATAGAATTTGGTAAATTAAAAAAATTCTTAGATAGAAGAAAGGTACAGTTATGAATTACAGCATTTGCATTTTATTTTTAATTAATTAGCTTTTCGAGGCACCACGCAACTGTGATCCTAATCTAATTCATATCATCTTGCTCTTTGGAAATATTTATTAAATGAAATCAACCATGTATAATATTTTTATCTACAAGCTTATGTTAAACTTGAACCCTGCCAAATTGGATTTTTTTTTTAGAAAATAACACTGATGTCTAACAAAAAAAAACTATAATAGTTAATTGTAATTATATGTAACTAATTTATGTGGTCATAAACTTCAAGTTTGAATATTACAAGCCAAGTACTGTGTTAAGTGACTCTTCTCTTCAAATTTAGTTGAGCTCAACTTTCGGTGCTTGTAGTCCAAACATTATGTATGTTGTATAGAATAATTAAAACAATGGACTAATAAGTCTAAGTCGATCCTTAGAATCGTTTTTTTAGCCTATATAGAATAATCAATGACAGAATTTTGTCGTTTGTTAAATTGGACTTGTTAAACTGGGTATATTGGACGTCTACTGCACTTAAAAATAATTTTTTTTTTGTTGTATTTCAATATTGTTTACCAGAATATTATATACCAATATAAATAAATTTATTATTAAATAAATTAAATTAAATAAATAAAATTTAAATAATTTATTTTTATTTTTAGGCATTTCACCAGATCGTATAATATTTTCAAATGTTGCTGCCAAAGAAGAACATGTACGAAGAGGTCAACTAGCTGATGTTTGTTTGGATACACCACTTTGCAATGGACACACAACTTCAATGGACGTTTTATGGACAGGAACACCTGTAGTAACTTTACCCGGTGAAACGTTAGCTTCAAGGTATATTAAAAATATTTTAAATATTTATATAAACTCTTATATTTGTTAATTTTTATTAAAGAGTGGCAGCTTCACAATTAGCTACTTTAGGATGTCCAGAACTAATAGCACGAACAAAACAAGAATATCAGGATATAGCAATTCGTTTAGGTACTGACCGAGAATATTTAAAGGCGATGCGTGCGAAAGTTTGGGAAGCGCGAGTGCAAAGTCCATTATTCGATTGTTCACAATATTCTAACAGCCTGGAAGTACTATTTTCACGTATGTGGGAGAAGTTTTCGAACAACGAAGAACCCGATCATATTTCAACAAATAAATAAATATACTTTCTCAACTTAAACAAGTATATTTAATGAAATATGAACAACAGTACTTCAAAGGATATACTTTTAAAATTTTATTTTGTTCTACTCTAACAGTTAGCTAAAATTTAAATATTAATAGAAAGTTTTTGTTTAGAATTTACTAACAATAAGGATATTTAAATTAATGTTATTTTTGTTTATATTGACATAAAATATACAAAGGCATATTAGGTCAAATTAAGGTAATAATATATAAAACAAAAAGAATTTGAAACCTAAATACAATAAAAAAAAAGAGAAATAATTCATATACCGAAATTGAATACTTAAGATTAGTTTCAAAGTTTTTAAATATTGAAAATAAACAAGAAAATTATTATCCATGTCAAATTGCCTTTTAAACTAGAAATATTGTACCTGTAGGTGTGAATGTCTAAAAACAGTTTTTTATAAAAAACTGTTCTGTTCTTAAACTTTGGATTAAATTTATTCGTAAGGCCTACGTTTCAATGTTTCTTTTTTATTATTAGCACTTCTCCTAGATGTCTTAGAGTAAACGTGATTTTAAAATAATAAAAATTTACGCAAATTACTTTTATTATTCTCTAATAATAGCTTTTTGTATTTAAAGTGTATATATTTTACGTTAATGGTGAATATCGTTATCAAAGTAACATCCTGTGTTATTTGTACCGCGACACTAGCATAGGCTAACATTACAGTAGGGTTAATTAGTGTTATTTCTGACCAGTTTGTTATATTTTATTTAGACGTCTTTTCTTTAGTTTTTGCCCAAATGATACTATCAGATGGAAATTATGAATTAGAGACACCTCCATTAATGTGCAAAGATGAAGTACTAATTAAGTTACACCTTGCTCAATGCCCAATCTCGTTGGCTAAGACCGACATACAATTCTGATGATCAATTAACTTATACATTTTCTATACCTACACGTATAATCATAAACACTTCAAATAATAATTATTTTAAAAATTTATTAGTATTTTATACAGTTATTACAATTAGTATTTTCATATAGTTATAATATTAAAGTTAATTAATTTTTTTAACCTAGGGAATTTAGTCATTCTAATAACCATGCTGTAATAATAAAGTGTGCAACACACGCTTTATTTGATTACTAGTATTCATCCGTGATCGTGTGCCTAAATAGAATGCAGTGCAAAGTATGGGAACCGCATACTCCTGTAGAAGTATAGTCATTTCCGGTAAATTGTCAACAGCTGTAGACGCAACTGATGAATTATCGTCACGTAGACATTGTATGTAAGCATTAAAAGTACTTTTATTAATATCAGCATTTCCCGGATTGTGTGTTAAATGGCGTATTAATAAAATAAAAGCATTGGAACGTATATGTGCGCTTGATGAAAATATAAGTTCCAACAAACGTTCAAATATTTCAGAGAGAACCGTAAAACGTTTTGAAGTAAGATTTTCAATTTCAAGCAGCGGACCAATTAATATTTCTTCTTCGTTGGAAGTTTTAACAAGTTTTATTAAATGTAAAAAATGTTCAGATAATTCTGGGCGTTTATTAAATGTAAAACCGGTTGTTCCATAAACACTAAATTTATCAACTATTTTAACTGTTGTGTTCGCACTTGAATCTGATATATCTGTTTCTGATGTTTTTCTTGAATTTGATTCTGATTGATCTTCAATGATAATGACATTTGAACAAATTTGTTTAGCAGTCCAGCTGTTTAATCGCAATGTGTTCACGCTCTGTATTAATTGATGTAGGACAGTTAAGGAATTAAACTTTATTACAAGGTTCATCAACACATCAAAATACTGTTCAATAATTGGAAAGGCACTATTGGGATTTGCATTTATGTATGCAAGAAGCAGATCTGCAAATTTATAAACAATGTTAAAAGTTTCTTTACTTCCTATATGATTTTTAAGAAACTTGAAATAACAAACTATTCCAGCATGAAAATCGGTTTTATATGCATCATCAAACAAAATTGGTTTTATTAGCTCCAGAGTACGTAAAATCTGCACAAAGCGATTTATGTGATGATCTTCACGTATTACTTGAATATTAAGTTCTGCTTTACCTTCTAACAATGACATAAGTACGCCTAATTGTCTTACGAACAGTGCAGGATGAGATGCAGCAAGTTTTCTTATTAATAGGTCAGTGTCTGGAGAAAGTAATTCGAAATCCTTTTTCGTATTAAGGTTACCAAAACATGTTATAAGATTATTGGATATCTTATCTGCTTGACAACCCTTCAGTGTCAACAACTTTGAAGGATTTTTTCCAAATGTATCTTTCTTAATAAATTTAATTTTAGGATACATTAAATACATTTGTTGAAGTACTTTATACTTTAACTCTTCTGGGCAATCGCTACGATCTATGTATTCGATGAATTGTGCCAATAACTTGTCTTTTTTCTTTGTAACTATAAATAAAAGATTAATTCGTGAACATAATTTTTGATCATATTTTTCAGATTTATAGTTGTCATCACTTTCCGCTTCTTTTAAAATTAGATTTGTAAATGCATTCAATTTTGAACCTTCCAAATGTATAATATCGTCTGCAACATCTGCATTCGTAATACGTTTGTCTCGTCCCTGCCATAATTTTGGATTGTAAATAATTGATTCTATAAAGCTCAATACTGTGCTACAATCGTAGTTTGTCGTCCTTTCCTGCAAAACATGATCTAACATTGTTATAAGTGTACTCCAATGTGACTGGTGGCACATAACGGATAGAAAATAGTAACGAATTGGAGGACTATCCTTAGAAAAAAGAAAATCTATTTTTACTTTTTTCTCAACTATAAAAACTTCAGGATCCAGATCAATATTCCACACACCTAATTTGGAAATGTTGCTTAATTCTGCGATGTCAGCATCCGTTATTTTATTAAACATCCTCTTATTAGTAGTTTTGGAGGTTTCGTTGGTTCGAGCAACACTCTGCAAAGCAAGCAAAAAATGATCGTCGTTTGGAAGCTTTTTACTGTAAACTAATAAGTTATTTATAGTTTCATTTATTAGATTAACACTGTGTTTGATTTTATCCACCAATATGAGCTTTTCTTTTAAATCCACTAATCCTCTTACAACTGTGCATATTCGAAATTTAGCTTCATCATTTCCAATAGAACTAAATTGTTGTTGTACATTATTTAAAATATTTGTAATAATAAATTCTATTTCTTTTTCATTGCTAGAGCTGAAATCACATGGATTACGTATCTGATACATCAATTTTCGGAATGTATAATTTTTCGTATGATTTAATACGACTTTAATTTTGTCAGTCTTTGATTCTGTAGTTTCAATTAACGAAAAATTATTTAAGGTGATAGTTTCCAAATCATCGATTTGAATTTTTGGTAAATCAGGCACAGTTTGTGAATGAGAATTTAATCCCAATTTTTTTACAGTTACATGTCCATTTTTGGCACCACGGGCTCGTTGTATTTCTATCAATTGTGATAAATAAGCTTTGTTCAGTATTGTCGCTTTAACAACTTCTTCTTGTTCTTCTACTGCAATATCTAACAGAGCTAATAATCTTGACATAGAATTAACAGGAGTACCAAAATTCTGTATAAACAGAATAATTTGATCAGGCGTAAGATCTTGAATAGCTGCCGTTACTAAACGATCCACCGATGAACGTATCATTCTTAGTTTTAACCAATCTGGCAGCAGCTGTACTGGTTCATGTGGTAAATTTGGTAAATAGGCGGTTGGAGCCTTTTGATTAGGTGGAAACCAATAATCTAATATGGGAAACGACTCCGACATAGTACTTGTTGAATGCGTTAGCAATATTATAAAAGCATGAATTATATGTAAATGTAAAGGTAATTCTACCCCATCATGAAATTGTACCATTAAAAGATCTGGATATTCAGCCCATTCATAAGGTTCGTGATGCTCTCTCAATTTTATTATGTAGTTGTTAAACATAACAAGAAGACATTTCAATGTTTGTGAACGACATTCGTGTAGTGGATCGTTAGTATCTGCGGTTGGTATAATATGTTGAAACATTGTGCTGCGTTCTACAATTAATTGTGCCATATCCATTACGTGATCCAAAGTTTCAGTTACTGAATCATTAAGTGTATGGGCCGCTATAAACTGTATATATAACATAACAAGTTGCGGAGAATTTTCTACTTGACAAGCCGAACGCAGTTGTGGCACTATATATGAACGTATTTCTGTAAAGTATTGTAATTGTGGTATAGCTAATAAAAGCCAATCATTCTCATCAGCATCTTCAGTTTTAAAAATGATTTGCAATCCTTTTAGTGCAGCAACTCTTGACTGTTTCACTGTTGATGATAATCTACGGAATATATAATCTAATACTTCACACACAGTCTGTTTAGCAGCATATGGATCCATAATAATACCTCGAAGGTAATTAACTAAATCTGTATCTCGTTTATTTTCTTCATTCAAAGCATTTGTGCTAAATAATAAAAATTCACACAAACATTGCACTGGAAGATGATTGAAATCACCGTCACTATTTTGTACAAGATCTGACAGCCATGGCATAGATTGAGTAGTACCTTGTCGTTGTATGATGTCTAATAACAAATCCGGTTTTCTGGAGCGGCACAACAAGTGTCCCAATTTAAGCGATTTATTAAGTTGCTTCAACTGCTCCAAAACAAAGACTGGAACTTTTCGTGCCTGACCCATCGGATTCATAAGTGTTAGTTGTGTTAAAAGTATTGCATTCTCTTCTGTTATAACTGTTTGTGAAGTTTGTGCTGCCAAGTGTGTCTCGAATTCCAGTATATGATTACGTTCAATTGCCTGAATCTAGAAGAAAATATAAAATTATTGACCAATAAATTTGCGATGATAGACAATAAAAACAATATAATTGTAAACCATGACTCATTTTAAAGAAATATGCAAAATGACATTACAATAAATTGTAATACTTAAAAATCACATCCATTTTTTTATCGGAGCTATACGTTAGATAAAACCTATGCAAAGACATTTTAAACACGAAATTTTCAATTTACTCAAATTGAATTGAAAAATGCCTTAATAAAATCGATCAAACAATTGAGTTAACTTTTGCAAATCCTACCTAGGACATTAAAGTTACAGCCTGGTATCACAATCTTGAGAGCTGTGAAGACTTTTAAACGGAATATTGGCTAGTGGTCATTTTATAGATCACGAAACGATCTGAGGAGAGTTAACAATTGTTTAAAATTCGTTTAAAACGCAAATGGAAAAAAGCCTCACTGATTTCTGTAATCCTTAAAAAGCACGCTCAAGCAAACTGTTTTAGTTTTGTTTTAAAACTTTTTGAATAAATAACAGGTCGTGGTAAACACAAACATGATTTCTGTTCAATGCATGAAGATCAGGAAGTAATAGTACATTTTCACTGGCTTCGTTAGAAGCTAGTTTGCTTGAGATTCAAGTAATTCAATCCATCTTATTAATTATTTAAATAAAGAGGCTATACAAAATATCTTCTTGGGACATACACATATCCAAAACTATGATAATTAAAAAAATTGAAATAATTTATTGATCTTTATATTTGTAACTGCTGCTATGTAATCTTTGATTTTGGAGGAAATATAATCACCAATAATGTGTTAAACTCGCAAACTACCTAATCAGAGAAATATTTGCTTCATAAGATATTTTAGTTATAGAATAAAAATTTTTATAGCATTTATAGATAACAATCAATTATATTGAACACTTACATTTCTGAAGAAATTTCATAGAGATATATGTGCTTAATCAGGCATTATATAAATATAAAATAATTAGAAGATATAAGATAAAAAATATAAAACACTTATAATTAGTATTATTATTCATTTTACCTGTGGTTCTTCTTTTGATCCATTATTTTCGTTGAATTGATTCGTAATACACATTTCAATTAGAGTTTTCATTGTCGGATACTGGTTCCAACAAAATGAACCAAACGATGATGGATTATGGGCTGATATCATAAGCATTATCATCCAAGCCTTCCAGTATAAAATACTAATAGCAAGCTTTGGTGGTTCATAATCTTCAGGAAGTTTTATATTCTCTGGATAATGATATTCTGCCATATTAAAAAGAAAATCAATTATCTCATATTTATTGGCTTCAACTGCAGGATAATTCGTTGCCTTCATAGCAGAAGCTCTTTTAATAACAAGCATGATTATTTCAATAGTTTCCGGTACAGAAAATGGTATATCCTTGGTAATACCAATCAGTATAATACGCAACAATTCCTCTTCATGTATGGGTGTTTCTGCAACTATACGCAATAAAGTTGCTCGTTCAGGCTCGGAAGGCCATTGATCACTACGTGAATAATGTTCTACATTTTCTAGCAAAAGTATTTTGTGTAGAGCTTGACTGTATTCTGCATTTTGAATTTTAAAAACACTTGGTACAGCTTCATACATCCAAGATAAAATATTTAATTGTATTTGACCCATATGATTATAGAATTTTGTTAAAACAGAATTCACTTGAAAGTCTCGACTCGATCTCAAAGATAATGTTGTTTCACGTACTTGCGGTGATACTTCCAAAATCATACATAAGCAAACAATATCAACCATATTGTAAAATATTCTATCTTTAAAATCTGATTCTTCAATTTGTTTTGTAAGATCAGGTCTTCCGTTAAGAAATACTTTACAAAATTGTACGAGATTTAAATCAAATCGTAACATACGTACTAACTCTCTCAAAAAAACGCGTAAAGTTCGCAAACAGTCGTCACGTTGTAACAAAAATTCCTTATATATTTCTGCAAGATGTGTAGCTGAAAGTTCTGGTGAAGTTTGAAACAGAGTCGCTGAAATAAAAAAAGAAAGCTGTTAGTTTCAATTTTACATAATTTATAAATAATATTATACTTTAACTTTTCAGCCTTTAATATAATAAATATATAAAATATAATAATAAAAAATTTGAATTATAGGAAATATGAACAATTGTGTTGTTTAGCTTTTCCTTATCGAACTTGTACAGAAACATTTACTTAACTTCTTTGTAAAATTACACCCAAAAAAAGCGCTTTACATATAGTAAGTAAAAAAAGTATGCATTACAGATGTCTCTACAAAAGAATAGCTTTGAAATAAAAATAACAACTTCAAGAATTAAATTTCAATTTATTGAACTTGTGTTTCCAAATAAAGCTGCAGTTTATAAGCTCGTTCTAGTGTAAAGCACGGCAAATGCTTTGGGTAATTAAATACCTAATTAAGTAATTAATTAAATAAAAAAGTGACAAAAAACCTCGAACTTGAGCATTGAAAGTTTGTGCAGCCTTGGCTACTTGTTAAAAAATACGATTAGTCACCGCTTCTAATTTGACAGGTACGAGTTCTAAGCCTGGTACTTACAGTCCAAATAAATTATATACGGACTATAAACTAATTAAGAAATTCTAATATTTCCTAAGACCACTGATAATGAGTAATTGGTAATACTCGAAACAGCGTTGTATGATCAACCAAATTTCAATAAATTAAACAAATTTTTGTCCTTGTTTTCTTTGCTATTTGAATTCGTCTAATTTTTAAATAGTTTCTTTTTGTCATAAAGAAAATTAACATTATATATTATTATATTTTATATATTTTGATGTTCTACATTTTAATTACCAAGTATTCCCATGTTATTTGGATTACGCGTATTCGAAAGCTCATTTTGGACTACCAACTTTAATATAATTCCCAAAATATCAGGTTGTAATACTATCATCTCCTTAAGACAAGCCATATAGAAATTTATGAGAGGTTTTGTTTTTGGTCGCATTTTAACCAATGAGGCCAAAACTTCGTGATCTTTAGATGATTTACTCTTTATATTCAAACAAATATAAGCAAGTAAATGTTGAGCTAATTTCGTTAGTTTTCCGTTGTGAATCCATAATTCCAATCGTGATATTGTAAGAAATCGAACATCAACCAATCCCGATGTAGTACATAAGAACTTTAGAAAATTACGTGTATAACATTCTTGTTGTTGACGTTTATTTAACTGTTCTTTCACTGCCTCTATAACTTCTTTTTCAATCGTTTCTGATGATGAATCAAATCGACTACATACTTGACCATTACGTTTTTGTTCACACTCCAACCTTAGTGATTGCGCATTAAAATCAACACCAAAAGATGTATTATCTCCTGAATCATCTTCAGTGCTTAACGATATCATACGTTGCTGCTGAGTGGAACTCTCAAGTTGCAATAAACTTTGATTTGGTATAATTGTATTGAATGCAGCACACAGATTTGAAGTAAAAAATGCACATAAAGGATTGTCTACCCAAATTCTTTCATTGATAGCATCTTCAATATAGATACGTAAAAAGATCTCTGGCCATAATGTTTTTTCATGAAAACCTTTAGTTAACAAATTAGTCGCAAGTATAATATTATTTATATTACATCTGGTCTTTGCATTTGTTTCTCGGCGTATTGTACAGACCAATGCTGATGTCAAAACGTCGTTATAAAAATATCTCGGTTTCGTTTTTGCTATATAAAATAAAATTAAATTTGTAGTTACATCTATTTTCGAATTTGTTGATTGTTGTAGTTGTTTAATGCAACCGCATAGATATTTTATTACAGTTTCTTTATCATTTTGATCTATTGCGGTGTAAATATTTTCAATTAAATCACCCGTTTCACACTCTACGGCCATTTGCTCCCATAATTCAGAAAATCCTTTTGATTGTTCTGTGGACGTACGCACTGATGCTGATAGTTTTTGTTTTTTGGTCACATTACTAATACTTATTGAACCGGAATCTCTTTTGCGATCAATGGGAACAGCAGTTTTTGAGGAAGTTTTTGATTTCGAATCTTCACGATTGACTTTAGATCCTAAAGCGAATAGCTCACTTCCAAGATGTGCGGGTTTTATTTTTTGATGTCTATTGCGCTCCATTATTTAATATCATTAATATTTCTAACAAACAACAACTAATAACCTAAATAACATTCCAAACTTGACAATACAAAATAATGATAATGAAATGAACTAAACTGAAATGTGAAACATGATAAACCAACAGTGATAACCAGCGTTGCCATTTAAAAATATACGCATTTGTATGTTTGTTGAAAATTTAAATTATTGTTATGAATTTTTATGAATTGTCTGCAAGAAGATACAAATAATTTATATATAATACAATATAAATATATATACATATACAATATAAAAGTTAAATATGAATTGCAAACAACAGCGAAAATAACAAAGTTTCTTTTATTTTTTATGCCAATGCTAAATTAGGTTTTTTTTTGTTATAATGAGTTATATAAATAACTAATTTTTATATCCAAATATAACAAAAGATTTATAATAAACACATAAATTATTTTACCATATTCATATTTATTTATATATATATAAACAAATATTCATGTGTACATGTAAAGCATAACAGATAAATAAATGTATCCATAAATACATTTCGACAACGTGTTTTATGCACATTGCTTTGTCATAATCTGGTAGCATTAAAAATGTGTGAGCACCCGGTTGTATGGATATTTGAGTGCGTACATACATAGTAAGTGCTAGTTACACTTGACCAGTTTAGGTTACCTAATTGAGTTGGTTATCGACCATTGTGATTATCAGACGGAGAAATGGTTCTAGCGAATGTTCCGGCACCACGCTATGAGGAGAAAGTTGGGATAAATGCAATTCTTTTGGGTCCACCTGGATCGGGAAAGGGCACGCAGGTATTGGATAAATCAATTTAAATAGATACATTGATGACATTATGTAATTAAATAGCATGATGTTAGAATTTCTATAAACATACTTAGCATTGTTTACTTTCAACGCTTTTTGAATAAAACTTCAAGTGCTGAGGCAGTTTTAAGTAGAAAAAATTTAAAATACTTCAGAATTTTAAATAAACCACGTCAGATTTTAAGTAGATAAACATACATACGCAAATATAAGAATCCACTTCCATGTACATCATTAATTCATCAATTTATGTTTTTTAAAATTTATTCCTGAAATGATACTTAAATAACTGAAAAACCTCAAATAGTTTATTATCTTTAACAGTAATACATAATTTTGCTAATTTTGGTCAAAGTTCACTAAAAATATTAAGAATTCGTTTTAGTCTTATCTGAGCGACATATTCTTCGCTTTATCAAAAAGCGTTTTAGCAAATTCCTCAATTTTTTTTCTTATAGATAATTATTAAAAATGTATATTACTTATTTCTAGGCTCCATTATTGAAAGAAAAATTTTGCGTGTGCCATTTATCAACTGGGGACATGCTACGAGCTGAAATTGCTTCTGGCTCTAAACTAGGAGCTGATTTGAAGAAAATCATGGATGAAGGCAAACTTGTATCAGATGATCTTGTTGTAGACATGATTGATAGCAATTTAGACAAACCAGAATGTAGGAATGGATTTTTATTGGATGGGTTTCCTCGTACGGTTGTACAAGCTGAAAAGGTATTTATCAAAAGTAATGAATTAAACTATAAGGATAACAAATTTATACATATACACAACATGTTATAGCTTGATGGCTTGTTATCGAAAAGACATAGTGCTCTAGATGCTGTTGTTGAATTTAACATTGATGATAGCTTATTGGTTCGAAGAATAACTGGACGTTTAATTCACCAAGCTAGTGGTCGATCATATCATGAAGAATTTGCACCACCAAAAGTGTCAATGCGTGACGATGTAATTTTAAATATTTTATAAGCCAAAACTTTGTATTAAAATAATTGCTTTTATCACAGGTCACAGGAGAACCTTTGATGAAACGTAGTGATGATAATGCAGAAGCATTAAAAAAGCGTCTAGAATCATATCATAAACAAACTAAACCATTGGTTGACTATTATGCACTTAGAGGATTGCATTTTAAAGTTGATGCAGCTAAAAGTAGTCATGATGTCTTCAGTACAATTGATACGATTTTCCAAAGACAGCGTGAATCTAAAGCTTTTTTATGATAAATCCTCTCAAAAATTGGGCAGTGTAATTGTACATAAACAATTTTGATTTTATTTTGGTACCCTTTTCTAAGGTTAGAATAACTTTGCAATAGGCTTGTATTAACGTAAAAAACTTTTTTTTTATTTTTTCTATTATAATGGTATTATATAAGCAATGAATAATTTAAAAATAATTACTCTTAATATAAAAATTATAATATAAATGCATTTAAATTATTTATTTGTTTAAATACAATTTTAATTTTTCATTTATGTACAACCATTGTAAGAAGTTTTAATTTCTTAAATGTATATAAATCATTGTGAAAACTTTGTCATTGAATTACATAATCTATTCCTTAGAATAAATTGCAGAATTTTTCAAATAATTGTTTTTTTATTAATTAGGAAAATAAAAAATTAAATAACATTGAATTTGCAACTTTAGGTACAAAACCTAGATAAAGTTTTGTAAATGGAATAATTCTTTAAACATAAGTAATTTTTTCTAAAGAAATAATTTTAAATATAAAATTTGATTTACAAATTAACCAAACTCGACTATAACACAAAAACACTTAATCGTGATGCTTCAAACCTCTACCTTTTGATTTTATCGACGAATAGCTGTCTTAGCTACTTACATAATATATTTTTAAATGTATTATAATTATTCAGCAAGAACTAAAGTGCTAGCTACAAGCACCAATAGAAGAATCTTATTTCGTGCTTTCTTGCTTGCTTTCTACGATCCAAGTAAGCACTATAACAATAAAAGAATCCAGTTGTGCTTAAAAATGTCTGTAAATAGTTTTTCAATATTAATAATTAAATTACTTCACTTCACCAATACATTTAGTACTCAATTTAAGTTAATTACATATATAAAAATAAGAAGCATAAAATAGCAGTTAATAGTATTGGAAAATCCAATAAAATTCAGATTATAAATAAATAAAAAGATGTTAGCTTACAGCACTAAAAACAGGAAATGAAAAAATGTCTATGCAAAACCTCTATATAAATATTGGCAATATTAAAGTTTCAATTTTCAGTTTATGTTAAAATGTACCTTAAGACAATTAGTTTTAATTTAAATTTAGAAAAATATTATTTAAACAAAGTAAAGTTAATTAAAGCTATTGACCCAAGGATGATGGAATATCTAGCGTCTAAGTTATCTAAAGTATACTCAACTTTGGTAAAGAAAGGTACCCCATTGTAAAAATCGCTAAATGCACTTGAGGTAGTCTCACATTAACAGCTGTTGTGAACAAACTAATTGACAGATTGCGCCCAAATTTGTACCATATGTCAACATAAAAAAAAAATTATAAAAAAGTCTATTACTTAAGGAGTAGTTAACAAAATACAGGTACTTTTTGAGCAAATAAAAATATATAAATACTATATATATATATATTATAATATACGTAAATATTTAATAAACAAGACATAATATATATTTATATAATAGAAATTTTTTAAATATATAATATATATATCATAAAAATATATATTTACTATATATATTTTATAATATACATAAATATTTAAGAAACCAAAGTATATATTTTGGAAAAGCATAAACAAGACATTATATATATTTATATAAAAGATAAGTTTAATACATAAATAGCACCAGCATATTGTTTGGCAAACTGGCATATGTGAGAAACTCACCACATCATAGCATACATTTCCAACTGGGTTATTTTTGACATTCTGTTGTTTACAAATTTGAGAAATTTTTGTTTGAAGATTTTAGGCAAAGTATTCTGCTGAAATATTATTTAACTAAGAAAAAAATGAATCAAATACGGCCTGTATACCGATTGTCACAGAATTATTTAAGTTATTTGGATATAACAAAAAGAGCAATTATAACAAACAATAATTTGTGTACACATGCCTCCTTCAATAATCTTGCTGGAAACAAATTAGGCGGATTTCGTTATTTTAGTAATTTTGAAAATCCTCGACAAAATGAAAAAAGTGATGAATTTAAAGAGAAGCGAGTTTCTTTTCCGAGGTTGTCAGATTTTCCAACTGTTATGTGGCCATCATTTATAAAATCCTTTAAAAATTGGATATTAATTAATCTAATAATACGTCCATATTTCGATACTGAGTTTGTTATGCCAGATTTTGTACAAGGAGCAAAACATGCAGTTCAGGTAATAAAAATATATATAATGCATTTAAAAGCGATTTTATTGAAAACACTCCCTTTTTAAGGTTATATCAAAATATTTAAGTAATGGTGAATTTTCAGCGTTAAATAACCTGGTGACAACAAATGTTATTGAGGAGTTGGAACCTATTGTAAAAACTTTATCTATATCGCAACGATCAGAATTAGCAGTACTAGAAAAGGACATATACGTATCATTTCCCTACGAAGTCGGTATAATATATGAAGAAAATAATGAAAAGGTAAAAAAATGGGTTGAAATAGTTATGATTTTTCATGTTCTGCACGGTTTGACCGAGATGCGTAGAGCTGGAACGGAAATACCATGGAATATTGGGTAATTTTACAGTACATATATTAGTGATGCCCACTCCGTTATGTTATACGTTTGATTAAATAATGCACTTTGAGTTCACACAATTATCTGCTTTGTCGCACTTCCTTTACCCATGCATATTAAAAATTTTCTTTATAAATGTGCAAAGGTAAACGAAGCTACCATTTACATTTGGGAAGTAACTGCAGTTCTGTAATCAACTAAAAAATAATACAAGTAACTTTAATAGAAATTCATATCTTGACAAGCAAGATGTGTGTACAAATCTGTTACACAAAAACAATATACATATAGTTAATTTCGGAACAATATTTTAATCACTGATGATCACACGCATCTTCCTTAATGGTAAATAGCAAGCAAATCTGGTTTTAAATGACTGGTTTTAAATTGCAATATATTTTATTATGATAATCAAAATGTAATTTCAAGTGACATGACATTTATACCAAATGCACTTAAAACGATATTGAATTATTGCGTACAGAAACTCCATTTTGCTTTAATAGATGACAGAACGGTTCTTACATATTTTCGTTTCGTGACCTAAATTATTCTAAAAAAAAACCTTTAGAATGGTTAGTGTGATCACCTATTTTATAGAATAGCGTAAACTTTTTCAATCTTTTATTCATTTGATAGATTCAATAAAAAAATCTGAAAAATCAGGAAAATCAGAGTTTCTGATATATCATGGAATGAGGTGGATGTAATTGCCTTATTAAATTTGAAAGTTTGTTTTACTTAAAAATTATAATTTTTAGGCGTGCGTTAAGGTTATACGCATATTAGAAAATAGTGGGCATCACTGGTCTATATTTTAAATTCGTTAAAAAATTGTAATGTTTTGTTTTATTTTAGAATGTTTCCAGAATACCAACAGAAAATGTTTGTGTGTAACTACCGCTTTAGGAAAGAGTTTACTGCTGAAGCACAATCCGACTGGATTGTTAATGCAGTGAATCACTTCAGACCGGTTGATTTAATACATAGTGCTTGAATATTGTTTAATTTTTAATCAGTTTTCGTTAAATATTTTTGATATGTAATTAATTTTAAAGTCTGATCACGTGTAAGACTATAATAAAATTTTATATCACAAAATTGCATTATGACAGTATTAAATAATTTCAAATTAGTTTTAAATGATTATAATATAATATACAAAAGATAATTGTAGTTGAAACAAATTATTTGATTTAAGGAATCATATGTTTTGGTTTGGAACTGTTTTATTTTCTAACATTTTATAAATGAATATCAAATAGACAAAACTATATTATGTATTTAAACTTCCACTGATCAAACACAAATGTAAAATTAATAGTTTTTATTTTAATTTTTAAACATTATTTATTAAAATTAAAATACACACAAATCATTTAAACAGCTCCCGTTATATTTTGTAACAAAAAAATACGTTGCGCTATATTTATTTCGGGTCCTCAATACCAGTCTCTTGCCTTTCTTTCTCATTCACTAAAAAATAAAAAAATTAAAAAAAAAATATTATGTATATAGAAAGTATGATAAAAATGGGATTTGTTTAATAATGTAGAAAGGAATGGGAAGCTATAAAAATGTTCTTCAATAGAGAGAATAAGTTACTTATTATCTAAATTATATATAAACACGTTCTAATTACAAATAATTTTTAAAATTAAATCATTAAATTTATTTGTTATAAAATACTAAGACAATTCAAATATTCAAGACTAAAAGTACTTTTTTTGAGTCTTTAAATTTCAAATGCATAACATGATCAAGTTAAAAATTATTCTAGAATATTCCTTTTATACTGATTAAACTGTTTTAGCTTTTAGCTTTTAGCTTTTGTACTTACAGAAAACAGCATAAGTCTGAAATTGTAGTTTCGGTGTCATACTCATCTTTGCTTGTGCTAACGTTTTTCTTGCGTTCATCGTACAATTTAACATTTCATTGAATTGTGATAGTTGCAAATGTTTAAATAAGTCCAATTTTGCATCCCAATAGTATGGTAATTTTTTTTTTGTTAGATGAAGTTCTAGCTCTGTAAACATCTATAAAAACAAAATTATTACAAACATAATATAAATTTAAATTCAAGAATTTAAAAATCTTACTTCTAGTAAAATGTCACTTAAAGAATTATTCCAATATTTATTATCGTTATTTTTACTATGCGCTTTCCAAAGAAAAATAGTCTTAATATAGTAGGATTTTAAATTCGACATATTTGGATGTGTATCGCGAAATTTTTTCATAAATCTTAAAACATTTTTTAAGTTATTTTTGTTCGAAATTATACGATTTTCTTCTTGATAATACGATGTGCGAAATGATATTTGGGGTTTTTTCGAAGCCGTTTTTAACGGTTTCGGTATAGCTTGCCAGTTAGATTTTATTTTTTTTCCCGAAATATCTTGGTGTGGTTCCAATAAAATTGCCGGTACGAAATCAACTGAATACGTACATGGTCCGGTTACTTTAATAGTATGCGCTGGACCGCAACGGATGTAACGCAACTTTGAAGCAACTTCATTAACAATGATTTTTTCTTGCAAACTATTCATTGTCTTTTGAAATAAACTCTGCAACCATGCATGCATGTTTTCAATGATCAGATTATTATCTTTAGTAACCATTTTTTTAATACAATTTAGCGTATTTGCATGGTGCACCTGTTTCTCGATTATTTTTATTACAGCTGTCGTATCAATAAAAATATTTCCAGCAATCTGAGAATCTTTTTTAATAGTCACAGACTTCGTTTCTGGGAACTTTATATAAAAAACTAAGTCGAATTCGTCAGGACTTTTCACTTTTAAGTTATCGCCATAGCTGCCTAATAAAATTCATTTATAACACATTGCATATAGAATATTATATATATAAAAAAAATTATTAATTTATATCAGGTATGTATAATATAATAATCAGTTGTTAAATTGGTAACAAGGTTTAAAAAAATTTTTTTTTTGCAACTCGTACCTTCTAGAACAGTCCCTGCAGATAAACTTTTAAACACATCATCTTCCCTCAATTTGTCGTAAATAGCTTTTCTTAAACAATTAAAATGATTTGTGTATACATTTCGTTCTTTATCAATGTTGATAAATAAATTAATTTTTTTTAAAATATTCTCCAAATTATCCATTACGCTTAATTATTACAACCTCTTAATAAAGTCACTCGGCTAAGTGATTTGTATGCTACAAAAGATTATAAGCAATGTCGAAGTTTTCCGGGCAGTCCCTTTTTATATATACAGTATGTCACGTTGTAGTACAACAATATCAGCGATCTAGATAAGATACTATTAAATGTCTAGCGTCGAATATAAGGTCTGTACTCATAGTTTTCAAGTAAAAGTCAAGTAAAGTTAAAAATGTAAATAAAACCATATTTCGTTGTTGAACTGATCGTGATGTTACCACATACTGGCTAAATGAAATTAAATGAATGTATATGTATGTATATAGTGAAATTAAATTTATTTAATGCATACGAATTTAAATTATAATTTTTAAACACTTGTTGCATTCATTGTACTATATATAGAAAAGATTTTCTGAAAGTATATTTCTAATTTATATCGTGTAACAATTTTTTCAAATATTTGGGACACATGATATACATGTATATTACTTCCACCTACTAATGTCATTATTTAAAACCATATATTTAACAATGAATCTAGCACTAATATCACTCGCAATAAAAATTAACAGAAAACCTCTTCCAAAAAAAATTTTAGAATGTCAGTATTTTATGGAAAACTTTTTCTATAAATCATATGTTTTATGTCAATTTTTCGTTTGAAATGGATGTTAGTATTACGTTTATTTAATAATTTTAGTTTTTTACATCATATAATAATTTTATGTTACAAAAATAATTTCTAATTATAACAAATAAGTAATTTCTAAAAAATTTACAACAAATTATATTGATGGCTCTACTCAAACAACACCATTGAATGAAATAAATGTAATGAATTGTTTGAATCATTAATCGCTAATAATTATCATAAATTTATTATGAATTTTAACGTTCGCTTAAAGTTTTATCAAGTTTAAAGTTAAACTTAATAATATATATATATATGCAATGCTAACTTTTTCATCGATAATACAAATATAGGTCTGTTTCACGGAGTTAATGTAGTAACTTTGAGTAACACCGTGCATACACAAGTGCGTTCCAGCAGCAAATTTTCGAGTAAATGAGAGAGCGTACCATCTCTGTCGAAATTTAAAAATAATGCACAGAATTTACTCGTACATTTTATTTTAAGTAAAATTTGTTTTGATATATAAATCAGCTGTTTTGGTTTGAATTTAAATTTTTGTATTGTTTATTTGCGCGGCACTGATGTTCTCACCAGACTTTACACAAAGTTCTTGCATGAAAATGTGTGTAAAGAGCATAATTTTGCACTTTATTTATGTTACGCTCTCAGTTTGTACTTTACTTGTGTTTTACTTGAGTTTTACTAGGAGTAGCTCGTGCAACAGACATTTAATGATATTTGGCATCACTACAATAAGTTATATTAAAAACTTACATTTTACATTGGATTCAACTTTATAAATATATGTTATAAATGTATATAATAATATACACTTATTAACGTAAAAATATTGTACATTTTATTTTTCTTTGTATCAAATTATAAAACACTATTTTTTATTATTTGTTTTAAAAATAGTAAATGATTCCTTACAATTGATGGCTCAGCTGCTAAAATATATACAATTCAAAGTTTTCCATTTAATGTCCTTAGAATTATAACCAATGCAACATAATATATCACTAATAACACCCTCTATCGGGATGCTAACATCAAAATTGTGACAAAAAAAATACGGAGATATGAAACATGTTATTGTACTCGCTTTCTAGGTCATCGCAACGTTTTAGTAAAGAAATTTCTGCGGCCATCTAGGAGCCTATTCTGACTAAAAAAATTCCAGCTAAATAAACTTAATTTTATAATATTTAGACAACAGTTCAATATAATAAGTAGTTGTGGGTTATAGTAATTGGAGAAATAGTTTTGTAAGATTCCTGTTAAACAGACATTCTATTCATGAAATCTTATTGGGATTTTATGCAAATTAATATTTGCATGTATGCAAATTCCTGTAATCTAGAATGTAACATGTAATAGTATTATATATTCAATCATAATCTCTGTAAATGCTTCAAATTTGCAGCGTATTATGATGTATAACGACCGCTTAAAAGGCCAAATTCGGACATTTATTACTGGACTCACTATTTCGACCAACGTAACATGTCACAGAAATTCTTCAAGTATTTCTCAGGTTTATTGCAATTTTGTAATAATTAAACACAACATACTTATTGAAATTATTAAACATAACTTAATAACATCAAAAGCTGTTTTTGACATTTGCTATTATTGTTCGCATTTTGCATCATATGATTTATTTTCCTATTAGTGGAAAAGCGATCGCTGCCTGGTTCCTCATAATGAACCACTTTATTAATTATTAAAATACTTTTACATAAATGTTGTATATGTTTTTTATTTTGAGAGTATTTATTGTTTTACATGTAATTATTGCTTTTTTCTCGTGTTTCTGAGAGTATTAAATTAATTGATGTTTATGCTTTGATTTTCACATCACGCCAGATGACATTGTGCTGGTTAATGTGTTCGCCACATATATATACTTCTTTAACTAATTTGTTACAAATCATAAATATATTCATAATAGCATTTATTTCTGTAGCCTTGTTATTTATTTTTCAGTTTCTCAATGAAACAAAAAATATTTATAAAACACTTTTTATTGAATGTGCAAAATGTAAACAAAACAACCAAATTTGACGTTTTGTTAATTTCAATTAATAAAAATGGTCACCTTAAACACCTGTAATATACTTATATTCATTGCAATAAATTAATTGGAAATGGTACTCTCATTCTAAAATTTTTAATTTACATTTAAATTGGAAACAACAACAATTTAACATTTAATGAGACAATGATTGCTGTATGACCCTATCTAAAATTTGCGGGTATGTTATTTGAACGTTTTTCAACCCTTAAATGTCAAATGTTGTATTGACTCATTTGTGATATGGTTTTTTGCAGTGATATCAGAACGTATTTGCATAGTTGAAATGTTAAAACATTGAATATACGTGCAAAATTTATCAAATACAACTCCGAAAGGCTTTATTTAATGCGCAAGCGTTATAAATAAATCTTCTAACTAGATTAATATTGGAAAGTGTGAGAAAAATTAAACGATTTTCAATATTTTACTGTTTGTGAAGTTACAAAGATGTCCGCTACAAAAAAAATCGAAGAAGGTTGTGAACTTGTGCGCCAAGCTGAAAAAAGGTAAAAGTTACTTATTCCACAACTCAAATATAAATTTAATATGTTTTATTTAGTTTAAAAACAGGTATATTAAAGTGGCGCCCCGATTACGAAAGCGCTGCAGATGAATATACAAAAGCAGGTAACTATGACAATGTTTATATGTACATACGTATTTTAAATTTTAATATTTCAAAAATTTCATACTTAATTGTATTTAACTCCTACGTTCTCTAAAATAGACTGATATTTTAATTGTATTCAATATTTATGTTTTGCAAAATTTTGCTGTCTTAGTGATTATATTTCTAATTTATGTGTAATTAAGACATTTCTCTATTTAAATTTTAAAATGAAATTCACGCATATATTTTACATTTAACCATATAGTGCATACAATTTTATTAGTTTTATTATAATTATAGTAGATAATGTTATGAATAGTCCATGTATTATTGGGGAGCTATAATTATTTTGATAATATTTCATTTGTGTTAATATTTATTTATTTTATTTAGTGTTATTTAAAATTTAATATTTTAACTATACGAGGCAAAAAAAGACACTATACTGTTAGTAATATCCGTACAGAAGTGTTCTATAAATCAGAGCAGCCATAGAAAGATTAACCAGAAATACACAGCTGCATATTTATTGGATAGCACATCATAAATGGTCCGTTGAAGGTTAAAGGAAACGTAATAGATTAGATAGCTTAAAGCGTTGCTTTGGAACTTGAAACAAAAAAAGGAACTTGAACAAAAAGGTAAAGAAAATGCAGAGAGTTAGCGACAACAGGACTTCGGAGCATCTCTAATGTTTATTTCCTGCATTGTCACAAACACGCTTATGATGCTTAGTAATGAACAAAATTTGGGGATTCAAAAGACATTTTAGTAATATACCTTTAAGTAATAATTAGGTTCGCATATTTACAATAGTTTCAGCCCCATTTGGGGAATTAGAACCAGTAGGTCTACATATATTTTACCGCGAGCCAGGTTAATATAATATAACCTTTATTTCAAATAGATTATTATGCTATGTTAAATAAGTTTTTCATTTACATAAGTGAGGATGACTTCACGATTTGTTGGTCTAAGTACCAGAAGTTAAGTTTTATTTATCGTAAAGGAAAGTCTTATAGCTAAAGTGGGAGCAAAAATTTAATGTAAATAAATCCACTCTTCACATTTTAGCAATTAGAACCTCTTCAGACATTTAATTACAAATAAAGTAATTTGTTAACATATTAACAGTTCAACGGAAACCATCTTTTTAGTTTATATTGGTGTATTATAATTTTTTAATAATATTTTCAATTTTAATTATATTTTTATTACTGGCAATAAATAGGGTTAATTTAAAATAATAAAAAAATTGATTAGTATATATGATTATTATTTTTATTATTTTAGCCACAGCTTTTCGAATAGCCAGATCTTATGACCAAAGCATGGATTGTTTCTTCAAAGCTGTTGATTGTCATAAAAATGGTCGCTCTTGGTTTCATGCAGCAAAGTGTTATGAGCAGGTATGTAAATGCTATTGAAAAATCCTTACAAAATCAATACCTCAAATAGAATTACTAATTTTATTAAGATAAATAATATAACTTATTTATTTATCTTGAGTTTCCAACCTAATTACTTCAAATCTATTACAAATCTATTTATTTTGTCATATATTAATTGATTTGGTAAAGATTATTTGTTTTTGGACTGTACTAAGAATTAATTAAAATCAAAATCAATTTTTATTTTAATTTTGATTTTATGTTATTACTTTCTATTTATTATTATTCATCATCATTTATATATGTTTAATTTATATATGTAAATTGATTATATTTTATAAATAATTATACGAAAAGTACCTCAAGATGTTAGAATTTAAAACTTATCTAAAAAGTCATAATTATCGTTAAATTTACCTTGTTGGCGTTAGCCTCAACAATTTGAACTATTAACATTCTAAAAATCGTATCATATTTTTTATATATTTTATGTCTATAATTCAAAGTTTTGAAAAGAAAACGTGTACATACCCAAATTTCTGTCTAATATGAGTTACTAATTTTACACAATAAATTGTGCAATCGCTCCACAATAACAACACAAAAAAAATTTAAATAAAATTATTCATAATATAATTTCTTAATGTTACAACTCTTTTTTTAGGTAATACTTATACTTAAGGAAAAAAATAGTTTATTGGAAATAGAAGAGAATGCTAATAAAGCATGCAATCTTTATTTGCAACATGGTTCGCCTGAAGCTGCTGCCACTGCTTTGGATAAGGCAGCTAAAATAGTTGAACAAAAGCATCCAGATGTTGCTTTACGTTTCTATCAGCATGCAATGGAAATTGTAATGGTAAGGTTTGTCTCCACTATATTAAAAAAGTATATTCGCATATGAATTTTGCCCACTCATTTACCTATATATTTGTTTGACATCATTATACATATCTTTAGAATGAAGACTCTACAAGGCAGGCAACTGAATATGCTTCAAAAGTAGCACGTATATTAGTTAAACTAAGAATGTAAGCAAAACTGTAACATATAGTTTTTATTTCTATTTTCTAACATGATTTTATTAATATGTGACTTAGGTATGATCAAGCAGCCGATGCCATTAGACGTGAAATAGGATTACATCAGCAAACGGAATCTTATGGACAAATTGGACGTTTGGCAGTAGCTTTAATTTTAGTACAATTGGGACGTGGGGATTTGGTTGCTGCTGAAAAGGCTTTTAAAGAATGGGGTAATTGCTGTGATCCCCAAGAGAGCCAAACTTTAGAATGTCTTTTGCAAGCATTTGATGATGAAGATCCCGAAATGGCTGCGCAAGCACTTGCAAATCCATTCATACGTCATATGGATGTCGAATACACAATTTTAGCCAGAGATATTCCATTACCACGTGGTATGAAAGTAGCACCTAGAGCCGATGTTGTTAAGGACGCTGCCGCTTCTTATGTATCGCCTAATTCTGAAGTAAATTTATATTAAAAATTATTATTTTAAAAAAATTTGATTTATTACTTTACTTTTAGGCAGCGCAATCTGCTGATGATGCGAATCCTACAAACTCAAAAGTAACCGCAAACGACGAAGACGACGACGAAGGACTGTGTTAATTAATTTATAAAATAATTTTTAAATATAATTAAAAAGTTAATTATAATAAATACTTCTATTTAGGTTGCAATAAGAATTCCTCATATTATTATTCTTATTAATATATACATATATATGTAGTAATTACTTTGCAAATAATATAAAGTTGTTTGGATGTATGAACGTGTTTTAGTTGTTAAAAAAAATATATTTATATAGATATAAATATTACATAATTGCATACCTTAATCTTTCCTGTCCATTTTAAGGTTTACAGCAATTTTTTTTTTATTAAGGCTATTGTAAAATATATTTAAATAATAGTTAAATAAAAATTTGCTTAATTTATTTAATATATTTAGAATTTTAAATGGTGTCTATATTAAATAACATTTCAAACTTTAATTAATAATTATATTTTTTTGTCATCAAAATATTTATTCCTTTTTTTTTTTGTGACCAAAAATGTTATATAATAATTTATGAGCGGGCTAATTGGTAATTTAAATAAAAATAAAAAGATAAATTTATTATTTATATTTAAAACAAATTATTTTATTACGATATTTTCCGATATTTAGACTATTTTCGATAGTCATCTTCAGTGATAATTTCGTCATAATTAACTTTAAAAATCAAATATAGCATTATTGTATGTAAAAATTAACAAAAATACGACTAAATTTTCGACTTTTCTTTAGCATATCGTGGAGTAGCATAAATTAATGTTAATTTCTTTATAAGTTCCTAAACAACGTTCTATGCGCCAGAAAGAATAAGATGAAAATATACAACCAATAATGTCTCTGCAAAAAGCATGGAAATTTAACAATTCAAAAAAATATAATTAAATAATTCAATTATTCTATAGCTGGTTTATGAGTTCGTTTTAATATAACAAACCAAGTGAATATGTTAATGAACTTCTAACACAGCAAATTATCAAAATTCAAAAGTAAATAGAACAACTCAGGTAAAATGCGGCTTCGGATCAGTTGGCTGGTTACTTTCAGCTAACTGTAATTGGCTTCATTAATGTACTCTTATTAATAAAGTGACTCTTAGCTTTAAATCCGACAGGGTACAAGTTCAACCCTTGGTACTAGCAGTCTAAAAAGCTTTTCCACTAATTGGAATAAATTAGTTTTATAGATGTGAAATACATATTTTAGTTTCATAACAAAGTGTTAGCTCTCTTAGTTGTGCAACGACAAATTCAGCTATTGTATCAGATTACTGTATGTATGGAGAACTGTAAATTTAAAATAACGTATCTTATATAAAATAAAAACTACAGATTAGCAACAACACACGGTTGAGGAAAATGTCTGGTTATATTTAATACATCATCCATTTTGATTGAAAATGATTATCATCATTGTCGACTTAACTGTCTTATTTGAATCTTAATATTCTGTAATGTTTACGGTGTCACTTTTACCAACTGTGTATGTTGAGTTTCTTATTTCGAACGATTTTACATCTTTTCCGATCCACTTATTTTCTAAATATCCTTACATACCGGCACCAATTTTTTTAACGATAAAGATATTTTATGCTAGTAATATTCGTTTGTACTGTTATTTTATTTGTTTTGACAAACTTAAATATTGTAATTAAACTTTTAATTATAACACAATTAGATGAAATCATTGAAGCTTTAACGTTTTCTTTCAAGATTTTCGTTTCAAAAGACCATGCGCCTTCTGCATAGATGACATAGAATGGTAGGTGAAGGTTTATTTTAAATAGACGCAGTTTCATTCTCATTGTTAAAACCGATGAACAAAGAAGTTTCTGTATTGGAAGATAGGCTTTGTTTTCCGTTTGAATGAGAAAGATAAAGAAATTTTTTAACATTTTCTTTGTCATTCTCCACTATTTGCTTAACGTATAATGAACAAGACTTATTTTATGCAGTATCTTAGTTAGTTGCAACAATTTCCGCTAAATAGCAACTAGGTCTTAAAGAAATGGTTAAAGTCAATCGATCTTTAAACAACAAAAGAATATTGATATTGGTAGCATATTGACTAAACAGCGAATTCAGTTAACTGAAATCAAACTCATCATAGATTTTATATTATAGTCTAAATATATATTCGTATTTAATTTTTCCTGTTGAACCATTCTTTAGCATAATATAAAAATAAATGTTTTGAAATAAAAAGTTATCTACACTGAACTGAATTATCTATTATCTATTGTTATGACTTGAGACCTGCCTAGGACGATAACATTAAACATCGATAATTATATACCTAATATATTTTACACTATATACTCCAGTTAAGACTAGGCAAGAGTTATCCATTACGTGATGACCGAACTCAGCAGAGGCAGGTATAGCATGACACTAAAGATTATGACGATAATATATTTGAAATATTCAAAAAAAAAAAAACTTGCATTATTTGAACTTAAAATTGTTTGCTAAAATTGCATAAATATGTTTGGATTATATGCATTTGACATAGTGATTGATATTGGCCTTTCTATAAACATAATTGCAGTATTAAGTATTGTTACGAAATAATATTAACATAAATATTTTCACTTCAAAATTATTAATGTTTTAAAATTCTTATCAATTTAACTAATTTTTCGCAAAATAGTGAATTATGTTTACAACATCAGAAGCAGATTTCATTTGTTTAACTGCCACTTAGATAAGTTACCTCTTTTTCATTTACACAATTAATATTGCCCAACATTTATTTATGTAAATATTTGTTGTTTTTATTATGCAAAAGTAATTTTAACAGTTTAAAAAGTTTGTAGAATTTTTAAATTACTTTTTGGGACCTGTTGTAGCGGCTTGAGCTGCAACTTCATCCTCTTTAGCATGTAGGCTAATAAGTTCATGTTTCTTATTAGCGATACGCTCCTCACGCCGTTTACGTGCTTCACGCACTTTCTGTCGTCTTGCTTCAGCTTGATCAGCAAGCATTTTGCTACGTTGTTTCTCGGCCTTCTTCTTGTGGATATATTCCATGAGTACGCGTTTGTTTTTGAAAACGTTACCCTTGCATTTCATGTACAAATCATGATACAAATGACGATCAATTTTCTTGCTATCTCTGTATTTTTTAAGCAGACGTCTTAATACACGTTGACGTTGCATCCACAAGTATTTCACTGGCATACGAGCATTGGCAGTACCTTTCCTTTTGCCAAAGCCGCAATGACGGCCTTTACGGCGAGCTTCGGTGTTTTTGCGCACGCGGAAGCGGGAATGCACCACTACAGGCTTTTTGATGATCAAACCATCTTTTATTAATTTGCGGATATTTTGACCTTAAAATGAAAAATAAACAATTGTTAGAACTGGTTCAATATTGTTAATAAACAAATATTTGGAGCACATTAAATTTGGTTCTTTTATTTACAAATAACGAAAAGTAATTCTCTTTTACTCCACACATTTTTGTAATATGAATTTACATTTATTTCGCCACAATTGAAATACAAATTTTTTTATAATTTAGTTATACAAAAACACAATTTCAACATAGTTATATCTTTTGAAATCACATTGTGCACCAAAATATTGTTTATTTTTATAATTATTTTAAATCATGCACTTACGAGAATTAGTGTTAGCAATCTCGTTAATTTCATTCGGATCTAGCCACACTTTTTTTTTTCCGCATCGCATAACGGAGGCAGCCAGCCTCTTTTGCAGTTTTAGGGAACTGAAATATAATAAATTTACAATTACTGCATGTTTTTGCACTCTTTTTAATTAAAATCAAAAATACCAAACATAATACTTTTTTAAATATTATAACAATTCACGAATATTTTACCTCATGGTACTCGTCAGTTGAAGTTACCGAAAGAGAAAGAAAGGGAATTGAACAGGATGTGCACTACCACCTCACACAAATTACAAATCAAATACATAAACAATATATGTCACTTTACGGAAATAAAACGAATGAGCGAACAGTTGATTTACACGATGCCTTAAAACTCAGCTCATATAGAGAAAACATAGATGCCAGAATTTTTACTTTCTTGTATTAAGTCGCAGAAAAAGACAAAACAGATTTTTTTATTAGTTATATCTTTTTAAAATTTATATTAAGGTTTTATTATCACAATTACGTCGAGTCGAATTTAGTCGGATTTTTTATATAAAATCCATACTGATATATAATTCAATTTTATATTACATATTAATTAATTTTCAGTGATTAATAAATAGTTCAATTTAATTTAATTTAATTAATTACATACATTTTTTGTAATATTTATTATTTACATTAATTTTTCTTTTCATTTATTATTGCTATGATTTGTTGCAAAAAATTGCTTGCTTGTGCATTTTGCCTTCGATTCTGTCTAACACAATCAGTTTCAGCAATTCATATTTTGGTTTTCGGATGATATGACCAAAATACCTAGTTTTTCTTATATTTATAGTTTTTAATTTATTTAAGGTTTTATTAAGTATTGAAGATGTATTTTCCCTCCAGAATTTTACAAAGAACTGGATTTCACTGCTTTTACTTTTTCAATTCTTTCCTAAATACACAATATAAGTTGTTAATTGGGTTTTAATTACGTCTATTGTTATATTACGAATTTATGGGAATATAATTTTAGTTATTTTGAATAAGTTTCCTCTTTTAATATCTGTAAATAAGAGACATATTGTACAGACGATCATTTAATTGTCTGTGTATCATGGTTCAATAAAATTAATGGTAACTTGAGGCTTATTTTACACCTAAAGCCAAATTCAATATAAATAAACGTGATCCGCAGTAAACTGAGAGTTAACCATCTGTATTCGATTTAAACGTGAGTTTTTACTCCATATCATGTTTATGAATATTTCAGGTAGCCGACTATAACGAATACAGTTAAATTGAGTGTGTGTGTGTGTGTGCGATAAAATGACAAAGAAACTGTCTGCAGTTTAACTGTGGGTGAGTGGGTCACTTAACACTCAAAAATTAATAGATATAGTTGCACTTGACACATTGTTCGACATTATTAAGCCAATCCAATAGCTTGTTTATTTAAATCGTTCTAGTCAACTTTCGCAATCAATTAAGGAAATAAATCACAAAGAAAAATGTCAAGAAACAGATAAAACGTATTGCCATTTTTTTGAATGTTAAAGGTTTATTTTTGGTAGAAAGCAAAGCATTAATACACATTAACAGTATCTCCAATAGGGATGGGTCAATATTTTAGTTTAAAATATATATATCAGGGAACAGTAATGAGTTATTGTACCTTGGGCATCATCTATGCTCAGGAC